TGTAGCCGTGACCGAGGCTGGAAACCTCGGTCCGGTCACGACACCAATTTCAGAAGAAATGTCAAATAGCCTACAAATGGCATCGAATATCGATTTTCAGCATCTACGCGTCGTCCTCTCCGAAAATACCCAGATATTAGGGCACAGACAAACAGACATAACACATTGAATATTTCTCACTGTAAAACATCGTCGCTAAAACATTACCGCCATCTGTAGAGTACACTGTGGTGGGCACTACGCTGAACAGATGGCGGTAGTGTGTAAACGTCAAACGCAAGGGAATTGAGTATGCGCGCCACAGGTGGCGGTACTACCAACTACAATACTTTTAAATTGTTCGTTAAATGCTTGTTCGATCAACAACTTGCGAGTGTTATGTCTGTTTGTCTGTGATTAGGGTATTTGACATTTTTTATGACCCGATGGCCCCCATATTGGATTCCACTTATAATAGTTTACATTTGACTACGGCAAAAATAATTACTTACTCGTGAGTATTTTCTACCCAAAATTAAGTTCAATTGACTCAAATTTGAGAATATCTAATATACTCACTAGTAGCTTATTGAACGATAGTCATGAGAAAGTCGAATCTCTCGTTCCGTTTTTGACGACAACAAAAAGTGAGAGTGGGATGCAAAACGCAATCACAAAAGTGTCTTGAAGAATCTTGAGAATTGTTCACTTAAATATTGTCCACAATTCTATAATTTCAAAAATGCATTGTGGCCTACAGTAGAAAAAAAAAATTAAAAAAGTAGAAGGGTCTAATGATAAGTTGATCCTTAAAGGGAGAAATACAAGTAAAAAATGTTTTTTATCGATTTTTTATATTTTATTTTAAATTTTTTAAAAGAATGCTACGAGCACGAGGAAGGAGTGATCTATGGTTCCGGTATCGCCAATTAACCGTAAGTTCCAGAAATCATGTTTTTACACAACCCGAAACGGTGTTTTCCAAATTGGCGGGAAAGATAACTCAAAAAGTTCTCATCCAAATGACTTGAAACCTGGCGCATCTTAAAGGAAATAGATTTGACTTTATGTGAACCACTGATATCATGAAAAAATTAACAATAAATAATTTTCAGGTCTGCCTAAAGTAGAAAAAAAAACAGTGAAAAATCAACTTTTTTTTCAGATATTTTTTCAAATTTTTAAATAGTTTTTTTTTTTTTGTTTTAGAGGTTCACATAGAACAAAAATTTTTTTCTGAATAAGGTCCAATTGATAAAAGTAAGTTTTGTCTATTTTTCAGGTCTCTAGAACGCCCGCCAATTACCAATCCTTACCGGAGGCGACCTCCTTCCGATGTGACCCCAAGGAGCCACAGAGGTCACACACCAATGACAAAAATCTCAAATGTAGAGGAAAATTTAAGCAATTTAATGCAAAAAAAACCCCAAACAATTGCGTTGTTTCATTTGCTCACAAAATTTTTTTCCAAAAATCGTCGAGTTTTTGACGTGTTACTTGTATTTCCTCCCTTAACATAAAAGCGTAGATGCATAGGTGAAGGATTAGAGCAAAGGTATTGAAATGCAGAATTAGATGTCGTCGAGATTTAATGCGCATGCGCATGCGTTGATCCCGGTACCTTTCTTCTTTTTTCTTCTTTCCTTTATTTAACGTCGGTCTCTGTTCCGCCAGCCAATCACAGATGGACATCGATTGCCATCCATTGACGGAAATCGAATGTGCAGGAAGGCAGCTTCGACACCTGCGTAGGATATCTCACCCATTCAACACACACATGGGCCGGGACCAACGACTTTACTTCCCTTCCGAAGGAAGACGTGACCAGAGATTTTTATGTCTCAAAAAATCCCACCGACCTCGGCTGGGATTGAACCTAGACCCATTGGGTTGATAAAGCAGTCACGCTTACCATTACACCATCCTTCTAGGTACCTATCGTTTAAATTTGCATATCATCTAGTTATGATTAATGTCAACAATACTTATATGTCGATAAAGATGGTGCTTTTTTATTGTTATACCAACCATCACAGAAGCCGACTTTGAAGCATCATTAACAATACACTCGTTCCGAGAAGGGACTTCTTCATCTTCAGGTTCGCTCACCACCCGGAATGAACTACTAGTCGTGTGCATCATAGATTTGATGTGATTAGTAATATCAAATAGTGTTACATGCAAACGAAAAAGAGATACAATGAGGATTAGTTTTTTAAAGTAATAGTTTTATATGAATACCCAACTAACCATATCTCAGTGATATTGTCTCACTCTGAGCCTACATTTAAAGTTATTTTGTGATTGTATGGTTACTTGGGTACTCACATAAAATGTTGTGCAAGTACTACAAGTTCAACAACGCTCCACTATGGATCAGAGTTGCCAGATTGTTTTCATGATTATCGGGATCAAATGATTAAAAAATCGGTATTCATCGTTATTCACTATTTTAATTAATTTTAATTTTTTTTTTTAAACTTTTGGACTAAAATCAAAGGATGTTCTTTCCATGTACGTCGGAAGAAATTTCTGGGAAATATTTGAATTAGTCTCTCCATAGTACCGACAAAACTTCCAGAGGAAGAATAAAGAAGATCTCGTGGAGGAAGTTTTAAAGAAGTTCTAAAAGATGTCGAAAAAACATCCGATGGGGATCTTCCATGATAAATATGGAGAATCTTCTGGCAAATTTTTTTAGAAACTATCGGACAAAATCCAGAAGCCAGGAAAGTTTGGAAACTGGAAGCCAATACCGGAGGAGCCATTTCCAGGGAAAGTTAGGAGAAGCTCGGAAATACGGACAGTGACTTATGGAGAAACTTCCAGAGGAAGACGAAAGAAACTTCTGAGGGAACTCGATAGATACATCCAGTAGAACTTCAATTGAACATCATGGAGAAGACGGTAGAAACTTGCAGGAGATACTGAGACGCCAGAGGGCTTACGGAACAGTCGAAAAATACTTCAAGGAGAAGATGGGAAAACATCTGGAAGAAATAGATTTCTGGGTTCTCTGAACTTCCCGATTTTTTATTTTTTTTTAAAGAGCTTCCCTTAAAATATTATCACAATTTTCTAATGTTCATGTAACTTCCCTTACGTTTCCAAAATTTTCATGAACCTCTCGGAACCTAACTGAAGTTTTCGGAACTCATTTAAAGGTTCAAAAATTTCCTTGAATTTATATGTCCTGATGTTCTCAAAGCTTCCCTAAAGTTATCTCAATTATTCTGAAACAAATGGAACTATCCTGAAAACCATTAAATTCCTTTACAATTCTTTGGGCTTGTGAAGTTTCCAAAATATTTCAGTTTCCTTAAGTTCATTGGAGCTCTCTGGGTTTTCCTGAGATTCCTGGGTTCTCGGATTTGAACAGAAGTTAATGAAACTGTCTATAATTTATCGGAACCTACCCAAAAGTCCGAACTATTCTGAAGTTTCAGAACTTCTGAAAAGTTCCTGAAGTTTTCCTGAAACTAATGGAACCGCAATAAAACTCTGGAAGAATTTCTGACGTCCCGGGGAAGTTAAAAAAAAAAATTGACGGGAGGAGTGAAACCAGAAGAAGCTTCCAAGGGAAGTCGAAATAGCTTTCCTGAAGGAATCGGAAATAACTTACAGGGCAGGGTAAAGTGAACGGAAATTCTTAGGGAAAGTTGGAAGAAACTTCAAAGGGAAGATTGAAGAAATTTCAGGAAGTTGGAAAATTAACGTTTTTATGGGCCTATTCTCCCACTGAATAAAAGTATTTCCCGATTTCCAGAAATGATTGAGATAAACCATCAGCTGTTTCTCGACTCCTAGGCAACCAAAAACGCAAGGAAATGTGAGCATTAGTCGAAAGAATATCAAGCATAAGACATTTTTGAAGATGATTTTTTTTAGAGCGGACTCAAAAAATTTAATTTTCAAGAAGATAAAAGTCTCTCATAATAGTTTCCTCTGACAATTCAGTGTGGGCAAACAGTAATCATGTTGATTATTAATAAAAAAAATCGGTGCAAATCGGTATTAAAACTCAAAAATCGGTATTCTGAGAAACTTTATCTGTATATCGGCATCAAGTTTGAAAATCGGTATAAATACCGATAAATCGGTATATCTGGCAACGCTGCTATGGACAGCTCAATGTTAATCCCATTTACTCTTTGAATCAGCGTACACCAACATGATAATCTGCTAAGAAACACCTAAGAATATATAGAGATAAAGCTCAAAAATACAGTTTTAACTGATGGTAGGGTAGAGAACGACTTCGGCCTAATCGCCCATTTTGGGCCTATCGAGCAGAAAACTTCAAATAAATCCATGATTTGATGAACAAGTCAATTATACGTTTGGTACGATACTTTAGTTAATAAGCTACCGAACGAAGTCAATGAGAACGCGTGATATGAAAGTTTGCACCCATTATTCCCAAAAACAAAAGAAGCGCTCCGAACGAATCAATTTTTATCTTTATCCGTTTAATGGCGTTTCAATGCGTTAGGCCGAGTTTAGAATCCGTAGGCCGAGTTTGGCGTCAAGAAGCAGTGTTAGACTTCTGACAATATCTCAACGATTGGTTTCTCTTTAGCAAATCTTACAGTACATACGGAAAGGTAAATAAATTTAGAAGCCATCAGTAATAATAACATTTCGTTTGGTGCTAAACTGCGCTAGATTAAGGAAGTCTAAGTGCGGGTTGTGCTTAATAGGCCGGAAATGGGGTAGTTAACCCTACTTTATCAAACTGTTCAATATTAGACCCTGCCAACACACGGCACCTGCACGGTAATGTGGACAGTCAGAATGGTTCATCGGTTGTGAAGTGAAGCGCTTCTCAAACTGAAGCGATACATTTCTCAATTTTTCAACGTTATCCTAACGTAAACTTAATATTATTATCACCCATATGCCCGTCCACGCCCGAAGCCCATCACCCACACAAAATCAAATAAAAATGTTTCTGTATGGCAAACACGCCCAGACATAAACGAGAATATGGGTGTATATCTTCTCTGCAACAACTACGAGTAATCATCGAAAGAACTTGCATTTTACTCAGGCACTTTTGAGCAAACTGCAATCACTCTCTCATACCCGAAATGTGCCACGACCAAATTGGCACAACGACGCCCTATACGCTACCTGGCCAAAGCGCAGGGAAAATCTCTATAGACCAATACCTGAAGAATATTTTGGAGAATTTAAGATTTTCATGAAGTGACCTGAAGGTAAAAATAACATACTGTTGTATTTTGTACAACTCACGAGTGCTCGTGTCTCAAAAGTTGGCGCAAGTACTGAAAGGATAAAGGTGATTCGAATAGGTTTAAGCATAATTTAACGTATTTTATGCAATTCGGCGTTTGAAACGATATTGTCGTTCGTTATCCTTTTCAAAGTAAAATCAAAATTTAGAGTCATTTTGTCGTTTTTCATAAATTTATCGAATTAAGATGATTTAAAATCGGTCAAAATTACTGAGATATATAGGCCGTCTTGCAATAAGCAGGTAATTTTCACAGGAAATAATCTATATTACTTTTGACATCACTATAGCCTATCAGTACCAATTTTCTCGCTGAATTTATTCGAAACCTCTTTCAAGTCCAAACGAAATGTCAGTGAGCCACAGTTCACAGACGGCAGCACGCATTTTGATATACTCCGAACGACGGACTTCCAGAATAAACGACTCATACGCTTGCAGCACGATATTGTTGGCAGCTACTGTGTCTCTGTAATAGAAAAGAAAGATCGATTAATTTTACAAAATAATTTGTTTCCACCAACTCATACCCTGCTTTGTGCGCGGAAGATCCTGATACAATGGCATAATAGAGCATTTTTGGTACATGGTTGAGGAGACTGTTTGCGTCAACGGTCTGCACCGAATTTCCCGAATTGACCAACGTTATGTAAGCATCAGATATTTTCAAATCCCGAACAATGGCAAACACTTGCTCGCTCAGTGCAACCGTACGCCAATCTCCATACAAAAATGTATCGCCTTCCCGAAGCTTCATCAGTGCCTTGAACACGCTAAGATGACTCTTGGTATCAGTGCTTTGCACCTTAACGTTGACTGTTCTGTAATTCGGTCCCACTGGAAGCCACGTTCCTGTCCCATTGGTAAAACCTGCCTGATTGCTGTCGTCCCATTGGAAAGGGGTTCTCACTGGATCACGAGATTTGAGTGCATAATTTTCCCTGCCCTCATTGCACCCAGCAGGATCAACCGTTTCCTCCCAGGAAATGTCCACGTCCGTCATTCCAATTTCGTCACCCTGATAGGTTACGCTAATACCGGGAAGTGTGAGCTGAATCATTGTCATGCTGTCCGTTCGATGTTCACCCATTCTCGTTGCTACGCGACTGCGATCGTGGTTTCCCAGTACCCAATTTGGCGTGTGATCATCATCTACGATCGCCATCCAGGAATCTATCACGTTCTTGAACTCATAAGCCGTCGATGTGGCAATCAGCTCCGTGATCATTCGGAAGTTGAATGGCATTTGAGCGCCTTCCCGACCCTTGATGTCCCTGAAATAGGGTTTTATAATGTCCAAACTAGACCACGATTCGGTCATCAAAATGAGCTTGTCTCCACCATGCTGCTTCTGGTAGTCCTCGAGTAGCTCCCTCCATTCATACACCATTTTTACATTTTCCGGCCGATCAATCGTATAGATGTGCTCAAGGTAGGCGAAATCTTCCGTATCATCAGTGGCACCACTCAGTGGTTCGTCCGGAAAGTCTCCATTTTCGTCCGCAGGCACCTCGAACATGCACCCGACGGAATCGACTCGGAAACCATCTACCCCTAGATCCAGCCAAAAGAGCAGAACGTCCTTCATCTCCTGTACCACTTTCGGATTACGAAAGTTCAAATCCGGTTGTTCAGCGGTGAAAAGGTGATAGTAGAACTGCTGCCGATTTTCATTCCACTGCCAAGCGCTGCCACGGAATCCGGATAACTGAAAGATAAGGTTGCAATTATAAATCTGAAATTGCTTGACGTATAATAACTTCTACCCAATTATTTGGCGGCAACGGCATAGTCGGGTCGTCTGGATTGGGCTTCCCATCTCTCCATACGTAGTAGTCTTCGTAGCCAGGTTCCCGATTCACCGACTTTTTGAACCACTCATGTTCATCGCTCGAATGATTGGGCACGAAGTCCAAGATTAACTTCAATCCCAGACGCTTCGCTTCGGCTACCTGTTTCTTGAAGTCATCCATCGTCCCGTACTCCGGCTGGATATCACGAAAATCGCTAATGTCATACCCAAAATCAGCCATCGGACTTTTGTACATCGGGGATAACCAAAATCCTCGCATTCCAATGTCTTTCAGATATGATAACTTTTCGGTTATCCCGTTAAGGTCGCCAATTCCATCGCCATCGCTATCTTTAAAGGAACGAGGATACACTTGATAGAAACCGGCCCGTTCCCACCAGTCTTTTGTGGTTTGCTCTGACTTGAGTTTTACTGCCCTGGCTGCAGCCGCGAGAGCGATTACAAGCAATAAAACAATTCTCAACATGATGTCATCAGTAGCTCTAACGATGAACTGAACATTCAAACTGAAACGTTTTCTTAAATAGTCCTCCCCAGGCGGGTTCGTATTGGTGCGATTTGCTTGTGTTTTTAATAAGTAGCCCGCATAAACGCGAACCATAACTTGACCTTACCGAAAATTGTTAGGAATTGTTTATTAACTGAAATGATTATGGAACTTTACATGAACGTTTGTGTGATAAAGTTTTAACCTTATTTATTATGGTTTTTTGAAAGTGGACCGTACAATTAATGGGTCGTTAAGAACCACCATTACCATTCCAAAGTTTAGCAAGGATTATACATTTTTTAACCATTTTTGATAAGGTATAGTAATGGTTCGCATTTATGCCGGAGTGCCACTTTTATTGAAGAATCAAAGCGACGATTGACTCACAGATGGCAGGTCGTAATATCTGTCAAATTGCATGACATTTTTTTAGTAAATCATCATTTTTGTAATTGCGGATCTTAAAATCAATTGTTTCGTCAATTGATAATGGGTTAATTTTTACTCATAAATTAAAGTTTGATTCTTAAGTTCTCGGGAGATCAATGGAGCATGGAGAACTCATCTTCTTCTTCTTATTCTTCATTCCTTTGTTTAACGTCGGTATCTGCTCCGCAATCTGGTGCTAATCACCGACGGACATCGATTGCCATCCATTGACGGTAACCCAATGTGCAGAGGAAAGCAGCTTCCACACCTGCGTAGGATATCGCACCCATTCATACCACATATGGGCCGGGACTAACGGCTTTACTTGACCAGAGATTTTTATGCCTCAGAAAAATCCCACCGACCTCGGCTGGGATTGAACCCAGAGCCATTGGGTTGATAAAGCAGTCACGCTTACCACTACACCACCGGCGCCGGCTATGGAGAACTCGATGTGCACAATCGTGATAAGAATGACCGCGGAAGCGCTACATGGCTATCAGTTGTAAGAATCAATAACGATATGTACTTAAGATGAAGTGTTTTCCTCCATTGATTTGAGGGTTCTTCAAGTATTTGAATAAACTGGAACTCTTTTCAGATAAGACTTCAAGGTTTCATTTATTAAACTTAGCCTACAGGTAGCTATAAGGTAAGAAATATTTACCTATATGAAGGTAGAACCTCATAATAGTAGTAGTTACTTTTTGCACTAATCATAATGGATTCGTAGGGATCTAACACGATTCTGTTGACGGCTACAGGCTCTCTGAAATGGAAGAAATTACCGTTATTCAAATTGTCGCTCAGTTAAACTATTTGTCCTTACCCTTCCTGATGAACGGAGTTCACCGAAGCAACTCTATAAAGCCCGAATCCCTTCAGTGGAATGTATCCCATGTTGGAAATATCTACGACCTGTTGAGAACCACCAACATTGACTAACGTGACAATCGTATCGATGTTCTTCAACTCCCTAAAGATGACCAAAACATTCTCGCTTACAACCGTCTTTAGCAGACCCTTCCTCATCGTCAAGCTCCTTCTCATGGCTGCTAGTTTCTTATAGACCTTCAGATGACTATTCTTCGCCGCTTCCTGTAGCTTAACATTAACGTCCTTGTAGGTCGGTGACATAGGAAGCCATGTTTTATTGGCCGTTGAAAATCCGGCATCCTTGCTGTCATCCCATTGGAACGGCGTTCGCTCGGGGTCCCTCGTCGTGTACTGGTATTTGTCTGGGCCAGCGTTGCAAGCCGCCGGATCTACTGTGTCATTGTAAGAGATCCACACGTCGGTCATGCCGATTTCCTCGCCCTAAAATGGTGCAGTATGTGAGTATCGGCTTGTATTTGCCCTGCTGTAAAGTTTTTTTTTTGTATGAGCCCTTGTAGCATATCTCAGGGCTGTGCTACATTACCCTGAATGTCCCTTTCCCCGGGAAAGTTTCCCGAACACCGTCACCCCTAATGGCCATTGTCCCAAATGAGATTATGCCTTCTTTCGATTCTTTCGAAAAACGCTCTAATTAGGGCAATGACTTTCACCGAAATTTTGAAAAATCCATCAAATGTGACCACCAAATTCCGATCTCACACACTAATCTCAGCCTTCGCTGTTCGGTGAATTATGAACTACGGAACTGTAAAAGTTTAAAAATCAGTGAAAATTAAAAAAAAAATCAAAAATATATTCCGAACAACTTATACAGCTGTGTTCCATTTGGTGAATTTTCACTTAAATTTGACAGATGGAACATTTTCAGATCAACCAATGTAAAATTTCGAGTGGTTCTCCATAGTGGAATGATATTTACTGATACAGCATATGCATTTATGAGTTAAGTATTAAATTAGCTTCAAAAACTGCGTGATTTCATTGCTACTGTAAGCAATAGAAGAATGCTCCGTTGAAATAATCGCTACGGCCAAAAACTGGCGCACACATTCAGCCAATAAAGGAACAACTGATGTCAAAACTGGCCCTGGAGCCAGAAGTTCACTATTCGGAATGCTTTAAACTGCAATTCAATGGTATATGTTACTACACAGCATGGGTGTTTCTATTTTATATAACGTGAAAACAGTATTTGCTTACTAAGGCTGTGTTCCATTTGGTGAATTTTTACTTAAATTTAACAGATGAAAAATTATCAAATAAACCTGCTATTCCAGCAGACTTATTTCTGTCAGACAAGGAATCAATTTTGACAGACGCTTTCTCGAAAATCGGCCGACCAACAACAGAGGGATTTTCGAACATCTTAATTTATTTTCGAAGTGTCAAATCTAAGTGAAAATTTTCCAAATGGAACACAGCCTAACTATTGCCTAGGCTCACCTACCCTACTGTTGAATTAAGCATACAACCGAATGCGATTGAGTTGAAGGAATCACTAGGCCAATAGTGGAGAATCTCGCTGGGATTTCCTTATAATTTTCTTTATAACAGCCAGAAATTAGCTGCAGAAAATGAAATTCATCGAACCTTTCGCTGAAGTTTCCTTTTATAATCCGCTTGAATTCACCTTTGAAAAGTATTGAAATTTTACTCTGAATTATCTTGCAGCTCTTCTATGAGATATTTTTAATTTTAGCTTCTTTACGCGGTGATAATGTTGGTTCACTCGCAACTATTATTGAAAAAAAAGTAAGTGTTTTCGGACGAAACTGTACCAAAAGTGCTTCTGAACGATTTTCGCAGTTGGGTGTGGTGAAATTCGTGCATTACCGGTTGATTGTGGAAATCCGTATCACAAAATTGCCCACCGATTCCTTTTTTTGCCGTTCGACGACGACGGCTGTGCTTTAGCGAGAGTGACGTTTATTGGATCCGTTTCTTTGCACGGGTGGTTTTTTGCAACTAGCGTAAGTGTGCCTGCGATTTGCATTGAGTGTCGGAGATTGTGAGTAAGCTGAAGGATGCCTCGCTGGATACGCCCAAGACTGGACGGGCGGTAGCTGGTGGCCGTGAACGGTTCCTGGGGAAAGCACTAGATGCGACACTCTTCCCAGATGACCATGAAAGTGCAGAAAGTATTACAACAAAGGTAATTGCAAATAGATATTTTTGCAAACAGTGACAGATAGCGGCCATGAAGAACCAGTGGAGGTGCCGGGCAAAGGTGTTATATCCTAGACAAATGGTAAGTTACAAATTCGCTGTTGTCGTTGTCGTAGACGCCGTTGTAGTCGCTGTCGTAATCGCCGTCGTAGTCGCCGTAGGTAGTACCATTAGTATATTTAAAATTAATTATCAACCGCTGAAAATATGAATTTTCGCGTATTTCTGTTGTTCATTACATGCCAAGTGAAATTCGAAAACGTAATTTCATTTGAATAGCTTGTTCAACCAGGTCTTAAACAATCGTCACGTCGGTCATAGCTTGTTATGATTGCCTAAACCATGCGTAAAGAGAAAATCGAAACAGTGAACGTCGCGTGAAAGTGGATCTTGATGAAGGCCTAAGTACTCTTTCGTAGCTTTTAGTTTTAGGATTTCAAAGGTCGTCGTTTGCAGTGGCTTGCTTACCGAGCAGAAAAACGCGATCCCAGGTCCTTTAACATACATAAGATCGCTTGTTTATCGTGTATTTTGTAAAACCAGGTTGGAATAGTTATAAAAACTTGAGTAACGCTATAATGTGATATGCAGGGCTTGGTAGCCTTAGAGCAACCGGTTTTGCTTACTGAGCAGAACATCATGAGTCTAATCTCAAGCCCATCCACATTCAAGATTCGTCAATCGTTTCATTTATTAACATGACTACATGGTGATAACAGCAACTCGATGATTAAAAAGGAGCTCGTCTGCCTAGTGGTAAACGTTTTTGCTTACTGAGCAGAAGACCGTGGGTTCAATCCCAAGCTACTTCGCGTTATATGATTGTTAGGGCATCAATTCAGCTTATCGTTTACCAAAACGAACCCTGCGGCAAACCCAACCCTATTACCCAATATCCTAGTGATTCCTCGTGGAAGTGCAGAGGTGTTCTCGGCTTCCATCAAAAAGAATGTCACGTCAACACATTCCTACCCCTTCTTTTCTTGACCTATGTTTGGGCGCGGCCGGCGCTGGTATTGCTTAGTTTGAGATCACCAGTTTTTACACATTGATGATGATTGCTAGTCCCAAGCATCGTCTATTGGTTCTCTGTGTAATTACAGCTGATCTGGCAATAACAGAGTAGCAACCGTTGACGGTCAATCATGCTCATGCCATGCTCAATTATCTTGCAGCTCTTCTTTTAATTCTTTTGAAAATTCACTTGAATTTCTCTAGAAATTCTTCCCTAAATGCCTAAAATTTGGAAATTCAAGTGCTTCTTCCGGGGTTTTTTTTTTCGGTGATTTTGAATTCCAGGCTTTTTCCCCGTTTTTCTGGTCTCCCTGATATTGGATAAACAAATAGGTTCAGATAGCTCAAATAATTTATGCATTTTGGTGGTCGTATACTTATGTCACATAGTGAACATAAGTATACGACCATCAAAATTCATAACTTATACAGCTATACATATTAAATCACGGCTCTGTAAAGCTCTCGCGATTACCCTCACAAATATACAAATATTGAATAAAAAAGAGCGTGAAAACCATTTCAGAAGCAAAAATGTCTAATATGTGCTGAACAAAATGGTACATTTCCACAAGAATATAACAAAGTGAATTTTGTGAGTTCCATGCCATCATTTCATAATGGCGAAACTGCTTTTGTAAAGAATGATTTCACCCAACGATTTCTCACAAATAAAAGCTCCATTATAAAAACTAACAATACCAACCGGTAGAGTACATATTTTTCTTATTGGTGGTTTTGTTAGTTTGGGTGTGTGAGCGCAAGAAATCGACGGCAAAATTCATTGTTTACAAAATCAATTTCGCCCTTTAGAAATGTTGATGGCGAATTGTTTTAAAAAAAATTGCAATTCAAGTTGTCGATAGTTGTTCCAGGTTCTTTAAATCGAAATAGGAGCATAGTCCTTCGATTATTGAAAATTGTGGCTAATCTGGAATCTTGAAAATTTGCTTAAGACCCAGAAACAAATTGAATCATTTATTTGCGAAACAGCAAAAGTCCATTCAAAGCGTTTTTTGTTTCGTTTACGATTTTCAGAGTTGGGAGGAAATCCTATACTAATATCAACATGAAGCTTTTAGTGTGATAATTTAGTAGCTAGAGAATGTTCTGCAGAGGATAGGTTGATAGTTCCGCTAAAGTACGGCAGTGTAAAAATTGAATAGAAGGATCATTAATGCGTCAGTACTACCCCGTACATAGTAATGCTTAACTGCACGAGGAACTTATATTACTATCCAAAAATGAATTTAGAAAATTCATTCAGAAGGAAACGTAATCAAAATCACTAATGTTGATATCCGTCCATCCGTAAATATCTGGATTCTATCCCATCAGGATATCCGTAATGTCCTAGGCTGTTACGTTTACTTGTGATTTAAATTCAAATTTCCATTAAAAATGTCACTACATTACACTATCGATACTATTAAAATCCTGAAACCCGCAAATTTGTCGTTTTTTTTTAATTCGGATATCCGGTTGATTCAGATTTTGTATACTCGTCGGATATTCGTATCCGGATATCCGAATAGTCCCCGCACTATATTCTACTATGCCTGTAATATGAGCATTAAATTGAGAGACACAGCCAATCATTACGGCAAAGAAAAACTGGTCATCTGAAAGCATAAGCTGTAACGATTAAAATGCACAAAGGTAAACGTACGCGATCATTTTAAATGAAATCGAATAAATATTTACACTTCTAATCATACTCACATTGTACGTAATGCCGACGCCCGGTAGTGACAGAAGGATCATATTCATGATATCGATCTTGTTCTCTCCAAACCTGCTAGCCACTCGATGTTGATCGTGATTACCCATCTGAAATATGCGATCACCCATAAACAAATGCTCTCTACCCTCTCACTTGTCACTACCTACCACCCAGTTAGCCACGGCCCCCTCTGTCGGCATGTTACTCATCCAATATTTGATCGTATTCTCAATATCGTGAGCGGAAGAATCTCTCCCCAAATCCGTTATAAATCTAAAATTAAACGGAATATGTGACCCTGGCACCGTACCGTTTCCATAATATGCCATCACGATATCAATCCTTGAGTACGATTCAGTCATCATGATTCTGGCATCGCCTCCATTCTCTTGCTGAAATTCATCCAGCACCGCACGCCACTGATAGACCATATCAAGCGTCTCGTTGCGATCCTGCGTGTAGATGTGAACGGTATATCCAGGATCGTTCGGATCATTCGTGTTGCCACTCAACGGTTCATCCTGATAATTACCCTCGGCGTCCTTTTCGATTTCAAACAACGTCGGCACGGCATCGATACGGTACCCATCAACGCCTCGCTTCAACCAGAACCGCAACACGTCCTTCATCTGTTTGACGACCTTTGGGTTCCGATAGTTCAAATCCGGTTGTTTCACCGAGAACTGATGAAGATAGTACTCCTTTCGATTGTCACTCCACTGCCAGGCACTTCCCCGGAAGAAGCTGACCCAATTGCTGGGCGGTAGCGGTTTGGACGGATCTGCCGCGTTGGGCTTGCCTGGATGCCATACGTAGAAATCTTCGAAGCCACTTTCTCGATTTTCGGACTTTTTGAACCACTCATTCTCGTCACTCGAGTGATTTGGAACGAAATCCAGAATTATTTTCAGCCCAAGCTTTTTTGCTTCCGCTACCAACGCATCGAAATCAGCCATCGTTCCATACTCGGGCTGAATGTCGTAGTAATCCGAAATGTCATAACCGAAATCGGCCATCGGAGATTTGAATATCGGAGACATCCAGAATCCTTGGATGTCCAGTTCTTTCAGATATGGTAACTTCTCCATTATTCCCCTAAGATCACCGATTCCATCTCCGTTGCTATCCTTGAACGATCGCGGATAGATTTGATAGAAGATGGCCGTTTTCCACCAGCTATTGTCCGGGGGTGGATTTTTCTTCAACGCCAATAATGCCTCCTTAATTCCAAGTGGTCTCCTTCCAGCTACACCTACCAGGACCAGGGCCAACACAATGTAAACACCTAAACTGCGTAACAACATCGCGACGACGACGACAACCGTTCGCTGCGCATGTAACCCACAAACTGATCTTCGGCTCAGTATAGTTCTAACTAACTTGCATACCCTCCCACCTCAGACGGCAACGATCGTCCCGGGGTCGGCCATTACAGGATTATCATATATAGGGTTACGGTATGTAATGTGGGTCTAGTCCTTTCATTCGGCCTATCACGCAAATAAATAATTAATTAAGGAATATTACACAAAAAATAAGGAAAATATTGATCACTGATGATTGATAAATGTGTACCACACACAAATCAATTTATATCACAACATTTCAATACATTTTCAGCTCTCGTAAGTAATAAAACTGGTTGAGAATATCACTCTGTTCGGAGTTTTTAGCCGCCATGACTTCTAAGGTTAAGATGGGAAGGTTGCACTGACGATCATCAAATGGCCTGATTATGGCATTTATTGAATGGAATTACCTGATAATACACACTAGACGTAAAACTCACAGTTACTGTTTGAATATTTTATGTTTATTTTAATTGTTTAACAACGTTTTCACAAGTAAATCATGGACCCAACTTTAGGGACACATTTCTTTTCTATGTTCCTAACTTTGGCCCATGAAATTCATTTGACAGCATATAGCAATAAGAGTAACGTCAACAATGTGGTTTGCATTTGGATGATAAGGAACGAACAGGAAGGGAGATTTTTTCTGCCAAATCTGTATAATGAACATCACAATGTTTTGATTTAGATATTCTGCGGTCGAAAGACGATAAGCGAAATTTTTAATTTTTAATTTTTAACTTGAGTGATTTAATGTAGTTTTCGTAAAATTTTCTCTAAGAAATGTTTTGAGGAATGAAGAGTATTAAGTTAACAGTGATAGTGATAAAAAAAAATACATAAGAAAACGTTACCAAGAGCGTTTTTTTTTGAGAATCAAACAGGATAGGACGAAGTTGCATCCATAAATAGACCCAATTTGGGGACAATAGACCGATATTACATACATTTCCCTGGTGAGTTTTTGTCTTAAAAAAAGTAAGTTTTTCAACTTTTTGCGGTTCCTGATAGCAAACGACATGATAAGCATATCTAAGCATACCATTTAGCAGTAGAATATCGTTTGCAGGTAAATTAATTGATGAGTTATGATTAAAAACGTAATCTATGGCTGCATATTAGACCGAGGTTAGGGACGTATACCCTATCACTCTCTCTCTCTCTTTGTCTGGGTCGTACCTACTGTGCAGCAGCTGGGATCGTCCTACGAGTTATGTGGTTATTGTTATGTATTTTCGTCTCTATTGAAGCACAACAACGTTGTTGTTTGAAAACAACTTGCACATCGACGGATGCCGGTGGCAACGAACAAGTGATAAAGGATCTATTTTTAGTCTCGGATGGACACTACAGTAAAGTTGAAAATTAATGCTCTCCCTGCCTGCAGCCAACCCCGCAACATCGTCATCCTATTTGAGCATTGTGCTAAGCCTGGGCGCTTTTCAATTTACACTCAGGTTCATATATACAAAGCAAGTAGAGAGCAATTTGGATGCACAGTCCGGGTGTGTAGTTATTGCGTGAACGTTGGGTTTTCTATAGTTTAACACCACGCGTATTAATGTTAATTGTTCGATTTAAGTAGACAGCGATTTCATTACATGCTCAGAGAAGTCGAGGAAATCTCCCACCAGAAATGATCCTCTACCAATCAGCTAAAATCCCAGTCAACCATTATAGGCGCTTCAATTTTATGAAGATGCCCTGTGTGGTGAATAACACTGGAACTGTTTGCTATATTTCTATATGGAAGCCGCCATGTTGGTTGGTTTTATTTTAGATGTTATAATCATCCTGTGGTCATTTTGCTCTCCATGTTAATTTTCCAAAGTTTGAACCTGTTCAGGCAGTTCAAGTCTATACGATCATCATTGATCACTTTCTGCTTATGTTGAATGTGTTATCCGTCATTTTCCGCGTAGTGCGAAGTTCAGCTGTAGGATACACGGCCAATGATAACGACCCAAATTTGAGTTTAATTTACTCATAAATCACATAAAGTGCAGTAACTCAGCGATGAGTAAATTTTTCTCATGTTTTTGCATGATTGTCCAGGAAAAAAAATCACGAATATGAGAAAAGTACAGATTGTAATCACTCAGTCTGTTTGTACAATACGTCGTATATATGTACACCTACCCTACTGGCGATACACACATTCACATCAACAAGCAGATACAAATTCGACAATTGAAGAGAGACCAGAGTAAGCAGATACAAATGATACCAATGATAACAATAAATTCATATCAATAGTTTCACTGCCTCTGCCATGGCAGGACGGCGAAGCAATCGGTGTTGTTTTATTTTATATCCGTAACTAACGTAGGGATCCCGCCCGTGCGCGATCACAGTCTATTGGTACTACTCCTAGAATGAGTAGAATTTTCGTAAATTTTTCTCATTTTCCAACAGATTTCTGGGGAAAACAGAAAAACATGAGGTAAATTTACTCATCGCTGAGTTCCTGAACTTTTGGCGATTATGAGTAAACTAAATTGGTCGTTCTCATTGGCCGTGAAGAATGGAGGGATTGGGTTAATTTTACTATATTCGTGATTGGAACTGATGAACTGATCAGATGAGACCTTCTGCAGTTCTTCGTTATGGTTCAATTCTCTTTGATGCATTTTTGAAAAATTCAAATACAGTTTTTTTCGACGCTTCATTTCAGATTGCAAAAAGCTCGCGTCATACACAGCAAAAAAATAATTTTGATATCACATCAAAGTGGATGCACTACAATCATGTCGAAAATTTCATGTAATTTTTATGACCACATAAATAAACAAATGCAGTAAAAGCAGCGTAATGTCAGTTCATGCATTGTATTAATGATAATTTTGTCCTTTTTAGCAAGTAATATTACACCATATTTTCGACATGATTGTAGTGCATCCACTTTGACGTGATATCAAAATTATTTTTTTGCTGTGTAGTTTGTCTTATTACGTTCTCAAATTTCAGTTGCTATCGCCTTCTGATCACATCGATGCTCGGCATTTGAGATCCAATTGTGAGTCCACCATGCAGGATTTATTTTTGCAATTCTGCATCATAATGCTTATTTTTGATCACGCGATAAAGTAACCTAACGGCCTACTTTCCCTAACTAAAATAAACGTGCGCAAAAGTTTTTTTTTGCACTAAAATAGCTCTTTATGAAACAATTTGCACAAAAATAAGATTTCATAGTTTGTCCAACGAGGCTTGCTGAGTATTGTTAAAATCGAATTTTGTAACGAGTTGCATACAAAGTTTTTTGCACTCAAAAATGTGTCGAACTTTTCGGCACTGGCTGCTGAAAAGTTGTACTTTTCGACACTGTTATTTTAGTTATGAAAAGTAGTCTATTGTAAAGTAGGCTATTATTCAAAACAGTGACACTTTTCGGTAATTAGTGTTAAAAAGACTTGTTCGCACGCACAGTTAGATTTTTTATGCCAAGCCAAGATGGGTACCACCGAGCAGCTCGCCATTTTATTTTGCTGGATATTAGTGAAAAACTTGCCAGCCAAATAAAATACCGATCTGCTCGGTGGTTAACAAACAAATTTTGCTGAAAGTTTCCATTGAGATCAAGCCAAATAAATTGATGAGCTGCTTGGTGGTGCCCATGTTGGCAAAAAAATCTAAGTGTGTACAGCTACTCTTGAAACTGCGTTCTATACAGATACATATAAATAATTAAAACACAAAGGATATTTTGCAAAATTGCAAAAAATGTTCAACATGAAACTATTTTGCTTCATGTAGTTATGCTACGTTATTGTTTCTGGAATGGTAATCTATTTCACAACAGACCTATTTTCGATTAGACCGAATACACCCTTATACAAAGTCTTGTGGTAGTCTAAATGACCGAAATCCAGTACCAATTTAAATAATTACGCATGGCAAATTATTATGCAAAATTTCATAGAAATCTGAAAGCATTGAGTAAGAAATCAAATTGTATGTACATTTGTTTAATGACAATGACCCAGTCGAACTAACTAGAAGCTACTCGAACTTACACGGGATTTGTTCTCATAAAATAACTGGCAACCTACTTCGAGCTGATTGAACCTAGAGATGCTGATTTGAAGGAACACTCATTCTGATCAAAATCACAATTTTCTTTATTTTTGCGACAAAATCCTTACCAAAATTTTCTTTGCCTTCTTCTTTTCTGAATTGACACTGCAAGCAGGGTTACCAAAGCTACAGATAATTCTGTATTTCTACAAATTTTTCAGAGTTTTTAAAACCAAGAATCTGTATTCACAGATTACAGATTTTTAGGATTTAAACAGATTTTTAAAATATGATCAAACATTAAAAAAATCAAACTTGAGATGTTCAAAAACTTTTGATCTGACCATGATGCAAGAAATCAATGGAATACCAGATCACCATCGGCCGATGGTTGTTCCCTCAATTTATGCAATCAAGTACCACCATGTAAGTAACGATAAAAGTTTTTTCACAGATGGGTCAACCATAAATGTTTCCACTGGATTTGGTGTATTTAATCAATTTCATAGCGCCTCCTATAAACTACAGAAACCATGCTCCGTATACGTTGCGGAGCTCGCAGCTATATTTTACGCAGTAGAGCGAATTGCCTCACTACCTTCTAGCGTTAGCGTTAGCGTTGTTATGATATACTTCGTAGATTGGATACTAGCGACACTCACGTCTCTTCTGAAATTCTCAGTTAGACTACTTTCAGGAATAATGCTGGGGAGTAAACATTGGTTCCAATCTAAACAAGAGTAACAGAAGCATGACTGCCGCTATTCCCGGCCACGCCCATCTTTACCATAACTAGGGATAGGGAAGGAAATGTTGATGTAGTACTTACTTAACGAGAGGCCACCGACTTAGCGACACCCTCATAAGTGCTACGGAGTTGGAGGGTTGGGTAGGGTATTCTGTTAGGATTCACCTCAAGTTGGCGATGCAACCAAAAGTATGTATTGTTTATTTGTTGTTT